TAAGAGCCAAACCTCTCAGAGCTGGAACTGATTGTCTCAATGCTGTATAACAGTAAAAAGTCAACTATGAGCCAATTTGGAATTACAAAACCATATGAGTTGATTGGTCCGGCACAGAATTGAGCCTTCCTCACAGCCGCGAGTCTCTATGGCCACACGTACAGTGCCGGGTAATTGGTGAAATACAGCCCTGTCTTCGGCTGGTTAATGGACAAGGTGACACATAAAGACTACATATGTGCATTTGAAGATGAAAGTTAGTGCAAAAACGAAAATGAATCGTTCTTTTGTGGTAAAGCCGCCGTCTTGATACAAATGTCCAACTAAAATAATCCCGTCATCCGTTGGCCATTACCAGGCATTTTGTGCTAGATGAGAATGGTCTGTGGAGTTTTCTATTCCATAATAGACTATGCATTTCTCGTAAAAATTGCCCTAGGGATATTGTAAAAACTCTTTTTTTGCGTGTAAATGAAATAAATACATAATAGATTGTCTGAATGCTAAGGCCAGGCCTGCGAACTAATTTCGCTGTTTATTGAATCTTGACTAAAACCTCTTGCCTTCTTCTACGAGGGTAATTGTCGGAGGTGTAAAGAGCTTTTGAATCGTGCAAATGAAACTACCTCGCAGAGTGTAAAAGTGCTTCTTTCTAGTTTGTATTTGAGAGGCTTGGGAATGGCGGCCAAACTATTCCGCGTCTGGTCTTCAGTGTTCAATGTGTATTAAGCTTAAGTAGAAATCAGGGACCAATGTGTTCTCCCGACCATATATTGGTATTACCATACTTGGAATTTACTTTGAATAACATGATAGAAACATGTTTTATTTAACTAAAATTCGTATAAAAAAAAACAAAATAATTTGTTTGAAAAACAAAAAATAAAATGATATTATATCACGGAATTTCTATAAGCTAACCGAGCCAGGATAATTTGTAAGCAATCGACATCCAACTAATTTTCATTGCCCTCCGACACTGGACGGTATCGGTGCCCCGAGACCATGCACACCGCATCCGTAAAATGCCATTTCGCATATAACTTTAAAGACGGCGCTTTATCACGATATTCTCAACATAACAGCAATGCCAGACCGGTTGACCTGACGAGGTCCCGTTTTGGCAGATCGGGGCATTTTGATTAGGAGAGCTTGTTTCAATAGCGCCGATGTGTCATACTTCTTGCCTTTATGGTATATGATGCCTATTCGATCAAACTCAACAATAATATCGCTTTGCCGGTCTACGACCTGTTGTGATGTGTATACACTCCCTGACAAGGCCAATAAAGGCAGGTTAAGACTGCCAAATACTTAACCCTGTTTAGCGCGCACGCGCCTCTGTGACCTGCAGCCTTGACCCTTGTCATCACCATGCAACCGCTCTCGTGACCCAAAGCCATAAACTTGACAATTTTCGCGCGCCTTGAACTATTACCATCATAATTCATGTGTTGTTGCAATTTGACTAATAAAATTAAATCTACCATGTTTGCTATTTTAATAAACACCATAACATACTTTGTGAAGTTTTGTGCATTTGCCCTACAGGATATATCGTTTGGAAAGAAGTTTGTAAATAGAAACACATAATGAATCTTTACCGATACCAAGGTTACATGTAAACAATAGATGATGCTAAAAGATATATATATCTATCTATATATATATATATAGAAAAAATAAGATTATTTATAACAGGCAATGACATGATAATGCAATAGAAAGCAAAGGAACGAAACAACAAACCAGTCACTTGAACGAAAAAATATTGGGTGAGGTAAAGGACAATATAACAAAACAGAAGTATTGAACAAACTTTTAGGACAATGCAACAGCGAAAACAAGAAAGGTATTGATACTAAAACGACAATACATCTGGGATAAAATGGTAGGGCGACGCAACAGAAAATCATGGAGGGTAAGGAAGGATAACAAAACAACAAATATTGGACATGTTTTATATATAATAAAAAAGGATTAAATGTCCATGTGAAGGAAGTAAATATAGAAAAAATAAGATTAACGACCGACTAAAAAAACTAGCTGGTTTCACCCTTCACAGGGCTCTTCATGTTTATTCAAAAGAACATCTTCGTGACTTCACAAGTACATGTCATCACACTACAATAGTAACGTGACGTCACGAAGTACACAAGATTGGTGGACCGTTGGTCTTCTTTCTATTAAAAAAGTGTCTGAAGAAAATAGTTGATACAAAGGTAATACATTCAATTTATCTCCAGCAAATTTATGAATATGTTTGTTAACATGTAGATTTCGTAAAGAAACAAATCTTACATATATATATGCTACAATCGAAACTTGCATTGTAATACTTAACTTTAGCATTTCTCTTATTCTTATGAAAAAGATGTAAATTTTCCTTTTCCTGCAAAATAACAGCAAATTAATCCATCCTTTAAGTAGCAGTATATGTCACTGCACCTAAAATATATCCCACGAAAACTACCTCTTTAGCTATTTCGTTAAAATCAGGGACTTAATCAAAGACTTACAGTATTTGTCAGACCCTTTAAACTAAAATTAGTGAAATTCTTGCTTTGTATTTATTCCCTTTAACCTGTAATTTTTTCTTTTTTATACCTGGACATATCTGCTGTGTGATAATAATGGATTCTTCGCTACTACCAAACGATATGAACTAAATGACTACTACCATACTTAACTTGTTTTTTTCTAATTGTAGCATACTAACTGATTTACCATTCCGGAGTTTGTTTACTAATATATGTGGTCTTACCGTAATGAACAACACCTCCATGGTTATCTACCCGATACGAGTTAATCTACGCTGAGAGAAATGTAACTGTTGGCATATTTCATGATTTTCAGCTCTGACATTTTTGTTTTTGCATTGATTACCAAGCTTGTATTATACCTTTGTTGACAGAAATAGCTCCCTAGATTTGACAGTTAATATATTGTGATGGATGCAGAAACGCTTTTCAAACATAGTTGTCCATACGGGCTTTCGCATCTGGTCATGATATATTTCCTTCTGGATTGATGTGTCCTCAGTTTCTGTCGATTTCTTCTCAAATCGACTTAAAGCTCCAACTTTATGGTCAACCATTTTCTCCGAAATTTAAGACTCTGATGTTAATATTTAAACTGCAGATTCCGACTTTGCAAACATCTGAGAATGTGAAATACATGATTCGATCTTATTTCCCATTCAACTCTATTCCCTAGCGCTGGTTTACTGCGCTTGTACAAGGCCAAGCAATACAAAACGACCCATTTAATTCTATTAGTGTTGCACATCAGCTGTCTCATTCTGGATACTTAAATTTACTTACTGATTGATCACCCAAACAGGAACAAATTGACTGTATATTTTGAAAAAAAAGATCCCTACTTAAGATTCCTTCCTTTAGTTTTTTTTTATCCAATATGGCCCCTTTGTGCTACTAATGTAACGCACTAAGGTTTTGGGGCGTTGTGTTGCGTTTAATTACCCGACCGGGCATCCCTAAAATTATACCGGCCGCTACCGGAAATGATCGAGAGGGCTTCTTGGATATAGCACCTTTGGCTCCCTATGTCAGACAAGTAAGACATGTTTAGTCTAGCTAAGTAATCCAATGATTTAAGTGTCTCTGTCGCCCATCCTTCCAAAATTTGGGGTTGGGAACTTTTATTGAACATCCATTGCTAGGGTTTGAGTATTATTTTTGCACTAATTAATTTAGTAGAGAAAATGCGAGGTAAATTCCGATTTATTTTTCGGGAGACATGCCGGTTTTCATACCGTTTGGAGGAGAGATGTTTGTTGATAGCACTTAGGTAGTGGCTAAACATTCTCCGCCCTTTCTGTTTTTGCCATACAGCGATGGTTTCTTTAAGCGGTATGCTCCTCTAGCTCATGTGAAGGAATGTTGCAAAAATAAAAGGGTTAACGGGTGAAGGCCCGGTCACACAGCGCTTTACGGCTTAATCACGACCAAAACACGTCCAAAAGTGGTCTCCCGTGAAGCAGACGATGTTGTTCGCGTTGATGTCGAGTTTAAGACGAGCTACAGTCGATTTATAGACGTGGCAGGACGCGGGGAGAAATCGGCACGGCGTCGGACGCGGCAAAAAGTTTTGAACTGCTCAAAATGTTAGCCCGCGGACAACCACGGGTGGCACACGTGGTAGAGACGTGCAACACACTTGAAACACACGTGCTAATCCGTGTTCCGGCAGTGATTAAAACTTGGGGAGACGCAGTAAGACGCAGTAAGACCCGAAAGTTTAGCGGTCTGTCACGGGCAGAGCACGGTCATCAGACGGGTGTTACGCGTTGGTATCAAGGGAAATAGCGTGTGTTTTGCGGCTTATCACTGATAAGTGGATTTTTCCGCGTACATAGCACTACCTAAGCCCGTTAAACGACGTCTCGAACAAGTGCTAAATACGATTGTTCACTGCCTAATCACTTCTGTATCACTTCTGATTTGCGGCCTATAAAAATACCGTAATTTTCTGAGACTTCGGCACTTGCAGTCTAGATGTCAAGGGGTGAACATGAACCCTCAACGCCGTGATGTCCTCATCTTTATGCTCCAGCACCAACAGAACCAACTGATACAGGCCCAACATATCCTTGCTGAGAGAAGAAGAAGGAGGAGGAGGAGGAGGAGAATGGTACGGAACATCTTGGTGCGTGACTGGATTGCGAGGAGACCTCAGCTTGGGCTTTACGACCGTCTCATGGTCGAGCTGTGTAACGAAGACCCAAGAGCCTTTTAGAACTTTATGAGGATGCCTCCTGCGATGTACGATGCAATTGTGCAGAGACTGACACCAGCCCTTACCAAGGAGACCACCAACTGGAGAGCACCCCTTGAACCAGGCGTCAAGGTTGCTATCACCCTGAGGCACCTTGCTTCTGGCTCCAAGTACCGTGGGATGGAATATGCCTGGAGGGTCCCCCACAACACCATAAGTCTGGTGATACGTGAAGTCTGTGAGTCGACGAGTATGCTCATGAGATGCTCTCGCCGCCAGACACTGAGGCCCAGTGGCGCCAGTTATCTGATTATTGGTACCACAGTTGGAATTTTCCGCATGTTATTGGGGCTATAGATGGGAAGCATATTGCGTGTAAAGCTCCGGCCAACACTGGGTCCGACTACTTAAACTATAAAGGCTTCTTCAGTGTTATCCTCCTAGCAGTAGTGTCTTCTGACTACATGTTCCTGTGGATAGACGTAAGCGGCAAGGGGTCCTCCTCTGATGCCCACATCTACAATGAAAGTGAGTTCAAGGAGGGTCTGCAGAACAATGACATCGCGGGCTTCCCAGAGCCAGATCCTCTGCCAGCTGACACACAGGATGTACCCTACTTCCTGGTAGGTGACGATGCGTTCGGACTCCGGACCTACATGATGAAGCCCTACGCTAACAGGGACATGACCAGGGAGCAGAGGATATTTAACTATCGACTGTCGCGGGCCAGACGGGTATTTGAAAATTCGTTCGGGATCCTTGCCAACAGATTTCAAGTTCTCCTGACTACCATGATGCATGAAGCTGACACTGTCAGGCTGGTGGTCAAGGCGTGCATACTCCTTCACAACCTGATGAGAACACGTTACCCGGTGATGCAGAACAGGCTGGTGGACTGGGAGCGTCCAGATGGAGCCCTGGTGAATGGTGATTGGCGTGAAGGCAGGAACCTTGAAGACACGAGGCCTGATAGAGTACCAGGACCCAACAGAGATGCCAGACTAGCCAAGGCCCAGATGAACCTCATCATGCAGTGGTGCAACTCCCCTGCTGGAAGGGTGCCGTGGCAGGATGACATGCTCCTCCCCCATTAGCTATGTTTATTGATCATGTTAGTTAGGGAAGCTGGAGCACTGATATGTAAATGTTGATGTGATAATGATGTTTGATATATGTACTGATGACATTACATATTGTATTAATGTAATAAATTTTCATTTTTAAATTGAAATTCAAAATTGAAATTTGAAAGGAACAAAATTTGCAAATGAAAAAAACAGTAAATTGAATAAAATTAAATGTACTGACCATCAGCAGCAGCCTCAGCTTCTCCAGGAGCAACTTGACCAGCATCAGCCTCATGGTCAGGGTCTGGACTGGCAGCAACAGCAGGAAAAGCATGGACCTGGACCTTGACTGTCACCTGGGCCTGTGATTCTTGACGAGCCTCATCCTCAGCTGGGGCCTTGGTCTTGGCCTTGGCATTGGCCTTGGTCTTCGTCGGCCTCTTCTTGGCAGTGGAACCATTCTTCCTGGGCATCATTGAAACAGAAAACAGCGAACGAACTTGCGTGGAGGTGTGGACTGTAGAAGATCTGGATCGGCAACTGTGAAGACCAGTCGTGCGCGACCGCTTTTATGCGCATCAAGCTGCGCTTCCGACGTCGCCGAGCCGCGGTTACCCGTAATTTGGCAGTGCTATGGCAGTGGAGTGCCCGTTTTACGTCCGCGCTGAACACGTGATCAGCAGTGCTACAGACGCGATGAGGCCTCGGTTAGCCGTGGTAACTTGCCACTTTTTCCCGCGTTTAAACACGTGCGAACCTATTTTTAACCTTACACGTGGCTGGACGTGGTTAGCTGTGCTTAGGCTGTGCTTAGGCAGTGCCTTAGCAGTGGAACAGCCGCCGACGGCCATTCCGGTACAAAGCACGGCCAAGCCAAAATTGACCAAAAATTACCACTTACGACCACGTCCACCAGATTTTCATAACTTTTTGTACGTGATTTAGACGTGGAGTGCTGTGTGACCGGGCCTTAAGCTATTGAGTGGAAGTGATAGCCGTTTGTTCTCAACCACGTGTCATATAGTTACCTCGTGGAGAGCTTTAGAAGAATAAGTTCCAATGTATCTAGGTAGGTTGGGGAGTGCGTACAAAGTATAGACAGGGCCATGTTACTTTTTTGTTATTTCACCGAATTTTGGTGGAACTTCGGAGACCCACTTGCCGCCACGTGCGTTGTTAAGTTTGAATGTAGTCGTACAATAAACGTGTAAAATCTATATCTGCCTAAGTTGTTTTATCACCAATCTCTGCTTCCTCTCTACTTTTTCATACTACATTTGAAATCCATGGAACCAGCAAGCGAAAGCGGCAGTCGAACCCGAGTGAGTAGGTAAGATTCGTTACAATAGGCGCCCACGTAGAGACCCGTTCGTTACACTAACATCCCCATACTGTGCTGTTTGTTTGGTTGTCTGCTGAGTGTTTTATGTCTTTTTAAAACAGGAACGATACTTTAAATTACATATCAAATGCATTCCGATGAGCTTAATATACCTGTGACCATTCGTCCTCTACTTCTCTTGTCAGAAAAAAATACCTCCAACTTTGGCTCTTGGCCATCAATAGAGGCAGGAGTAAATTTTTACGAGCTTAATGTATAAAATTGTTTAATCCTATTTAATGTTACGTTACGCCATACATACAGAACCTTTATAGGAATCCGCGAATGAAACAAATTTAAGATAGTAGGCATAAGAACAGAAGATAAACAAAATACACACATATGTGATTGCATCTATGCAAGTTGATAAAAAATACAATGTGCCAATATAATGGTGAGGTCACTGATTTTTTTTTCGAATTCTCAATAGCATTTGATTTTACGATCTTTCGCCAAGTGTGTTCTGGTGACAGCTAAATGGCGTTCGTCGTAACGAGCAGGCTATTCGGACAACTCATACCTTACTGTCATCTTCTTTGCGTTTTCAATATACTGAACTACTTAAAATGCAANAAAAAAAAAAAAAAAAAAAAAAAAAAAAAAAAAAAAAAAAAAGCCACGGCTACCGTAGTTACCATCGCAGCAATCTTTCTCTCCGACTGATTTTCCTCCGCACAGCATTTAAATAGTTTTGGTTGGAAATATAAGGATTTACTTTAATTTTCACGGCGAATACAGTAGCTTGAACGCAGTTGGTAACGAACATATTCTTAATGGAGCGCTAAGGCGCATCATAAAATGTATGTTGCCAACTGCGTTCTTACTACCGTTTACACAGTCAAAATAAAGGTCAATTCTTATTTAAATGGAAAAAAACTAGCTTGTCTTTATTTTATTTATACTTCAAATATAACTTTCAGAAACCGTTCATATTCTTTAAATATGATTAAGTTGTGATTCTGAGGCTTTTGTCTTTTGATACATCTACCTACTCTCCGTATTCATGAAACCATGAAACTCTGATTTTGTGATCAAGTCCAATATTTTGTTTCTGTGATGAATTATTAAAACATAACATTTTGCATATGATTTGGAAGATTTTTGGAGAAATCAAAAGGCAAAAACTGTTTGCAGTGCTAGCACTAAATATTTCGATCGTGTTAATTGAATACGTTACTTATATGGTAAAACGTTAAGACGTATGAAAAATAATAAAAGTCCAGGCATAGATGGCTTTACGGTTGAATTTTATAAGTGTTTTTGGGAATATTTAGGTAACTTTGTTGTTCGATTTATAAATTTAGGCTATAAAAAAGGTAATCTATCAATCTCACAACGTCGAGACATTATTTTATGCATTCCAAAGGGGGATAAACCTCGACATTTTATAAAAAAAAATGGAGGCCTATCACACTACTAAATGTTGTTTATAAAATAGCTTCTATTACAATAGCATACAGAATTAAGACAGTTTTGGAGAAAATAATTGAAAAAGATCAGAGAGGGTTTTTAGAGGGTCGTTATATAGGGGAAAACACTAGACTGATATATGATGTAATGCAATATGCAGAGGAAAATGATATTCCAGGTATGTTTTTAATGATTGATTTCGAAAAAGCATTGCATTTGATTCGGTGTCCTGGGCATTTATTGAGAAAGTATTATGTTTTTTTTGTTTTTGGAAATAGTATAATAAACTGGGTTAAACACAACATAATAATGCTAGTGCTGTAATTAATCAGGGAGGGAATCTGTCTTCATTATTTTCAAATTAAAAGGGGCTGTCGTCAAGGGGACCCGATTGCTCCATATATATTTATTCTGTGTGCTGAAATTTTAGCTATAAAACTAAGAAACAATAATAAACTTAAGGGAATTAATGTTGATAACTGTCCTATACTTCTATCACAATATGCGGATGATACTGCACTTGCACTTGATGGTACAGAAAGATCACTGCAGGAAGCTATTATTGAACTTAATATCTATGCAAGTGTATCAGGATTAAAAATGAATATTTCAAAAACTCAAGTGGTTTGGATTGGCAATAAAAAAATTAGCTCAGATAAATTCCATCCAGAACTTGACTAACAATGGGGTAGGGAAAACTTCACACTTCTTGGCATTGAATTTCACGTTAATTTACATGAGATACCTCAACTGAACTTTGATAAAAAAACTAACAAAACTTAAATCTCTTATCAGACCATTGAAAAGGAGAATATTAACACCAATTGGTAAAATAAACAAAATAAAATCAATTTTGGTTTCACAATTTAATCAGTTATTTATCTCACTGCCAAACCCAGAGGAAACGTTTTTTGTAAACTGAATTCTATACTTTATGAGTTCTTATGGAACAGTAAAGAGGATAATGAAAAAAGAGAAGTTGTTATTCAAGACTACATTAATGGTGGGTTAAACATGATCAATATCAAAACTTTTATAGACTCACTCAAATTAGGTTGAATTAGAAGATTATTTCAATGTACATCTAAATGGCAAGCAATTTTAAAAACATATGTTTATATAGACATGTTGGCAAATTGTGGTTCAGATTATATAAAGCTCTGTGAAAAAAAATGTAAAAACAAGTTCTGGACTGATGTTTTGAAAGCTTGTTAAAACTTGTATCATGCAAATGAAATTAATATTAACAAAAATGAGGTATACTTGAAGACCCCCTTATGGTTTAATGACAAAATTATTATTGATAGAAGGTCAATTTTCATTAAGGATTGGTATAAAAAAGGAGTTATTAATATAAATGACCTGATTAAAGACTATAATTCTGGTTCCTTTAATACAGTTCAAGAATTCACTCAAACTTATCAAATACAGACTAATTTTCCTCAATATTACAGTGTTCTTTCTGCAGTAAATCATTTCAACTCTAGTCCAGATTTTCCTAAATTAAGATTGTTATGTCCTTTTATTTCTGTACACTTAGAACCATTCTTTAAAAAGTCTAAAGGTTCCAAACATTTTTATAGTATCCTGGTAAAAAATAAATTTGTTCCATCCGGACAGAAGAAATGGAATAGAGTCTTTGATTTTAGTATTTTTTCTTGACATCAGATTTTTAAGCTACCCTTTGCTATAACTACTAATAAAAAATGTCAGTGGTTTAGTATAGAATAAATCACCATATTCTGACAACAAATTCTTTTCCTTTTTAAAACTAGAATAGTTGTATCTCCTATGTGTACACTTTGCAATTCTGAGATTGAAACTATTTCCCATATTTTATGGGAATGTCAAGAGACTCAGAATCTTCTTCTTAGATTTGAAACTCTTTTGGATGCGCTCATTATTCCTTTTGATTTCAATAAAGAATCTTATTTATTTGGATTTCTTACACAAAATGTGAATGGTAGAATTGATAATGAGATACTCATCATAATTAAACAATATGTATATAAAATGCGTTGTCTTCATAGCTCCTTAAATATAAATGCATTGGTTAACACAATAAAAGACTACCATAATATACAAAGATTTATAGCAAATAGGAGAAACTTATAGAGAGAAGTTTGAAAAGGGATGGAAAAATGGGAAAAACTTCTTGTTTTGTAAAAATAATATTCTGATAGCTGTCTCCTGGGCTTTGAAATGAATTACAAAATCAATAATTTTCTTCTATTTC